GATAAAATTCTTTTGAATTTTTTCAATAAAAATTATTGTGGGAATTTAATTTAATTCTAAATTCAAATTTTGGGTACCTAAGTGGTTTCCTAAAGTTTGTAATTGTGGGAATTTAATTTAATTCTAAATTCAAATTTTGAGTTCCTAAATGGTTTCTTAAAGTTTGTAATTGTGGGAATTTAATTTAGTTCTAAATTCAAATTTTAGATTCCTAAGTGATTTCTTAAAATTTGTATCTCTTTCTTTATTTATTAAACTATTCGAATAGTTTAATAAATAAATGAAGAGGTACAAATTTTAGAAAATCACTTAGGAACCTAAAATTTGAATTTAGAATTAAATTAAATTCCCACAATTACAAACTTTGAGAAACCACTTAGGAACTCAAAATTTGAATTAAATTAAATTCCCACAATAATTTTTATTAAAAAAATTCAAATGAATTTTATCTAAAAAATTAATGTTAGACCCGAAAACGACGTTAACTTCCAATTCACTCATAAATGGTTTTGACGTACCGTCTTCACCGTGTGACTTGTCACGTGACAAGAAACACTTCACCTCTTCAGACCCGTCCCAAAAGATGTTCGAGACCCACTCAATTTTAGGCTAAAATATATGCTTATATTAAACCATTTTTTCAACAATATATAAGCAAGATATAAGCTACATCAAACAGCTCTGTTTAGGGTAAGGTTGAAGGTTTAAATTTTGTAAACAGGTGTTGAATATCTTTTGTGTTGCCCCTTCCTTTATTAACAACTAACAAACTAATCCCTATCCAGGTGTATCACGTGAAAAAAACAATAATAGGCATGCAAGGATTTTAAGTTTTATTTTTTTATTTATTGAGTTTAAAAATAAGGGCAATATCAAATCAATGTAGATTAATAAAAATAAAATTAAATTAATAATAAACTTTATATCTATAAAGATATTAAAGTATACAGTCATAAGGTTTTTCATTAATCAGTAATTATTTTTTAAAATTACCACTGAAGTGTGATTCTTCCTTAAAAATACATAAAGAGATCCCATAAATAAACTGGATATAGAATGTATATAAATAATTCAGTTTTTTTAATTTAGATTTTATCGATAAAATTTATGAAATCTTGTCAATTTTATGAACTTAAGGCCTCGTTTGACAAGTAGTTGTTTTAACCTAAAAGTCAAAAATTTACTAAAAAAACCCAAAAAGCCTATAACATATACCAAAAAATAAAACATTCTTTTTTTCTCTACTTTTTGCATATCTTTTTGTAAAAAGTTAAAAAGTCATTCTAAACATACTAATTTTTTTTTACCTCATATTTTAAATAAAAAATTAAAAAATTATTAAAATATCATGTTCTCAAACGAGACTTAAATTTTTTAAAAAAAAAATAAAAAGGAATTTTTTTTTGGTTGTAATTGATGATGATATTGGTGATCGAAGAAATCAATCAAAAAGTTGAAGCTGGCCAGCAAAATAAAAATTTATATTTTAGATGTTTATTTTCTTCCTTTTCTTTTTCTTTTCTAAAAAAA